CTTGCAAGAAGCATACCCAATCGTGCTAGTGCAACTGGCCAGATATTCTTTTGGGAGCAATGGGCCGACCAAAGATCGCTCTGGGGTGGCGATCTGCCAAAAGGTTTTTCTTCCAGTCTTTGGCCGTGGCCTTACCACCTTTCGTGCCACGTACATGGTGTGTTCCATTTTTTTTTACATCACGGAGTCAGCACCCAAGCTGGGCACTACACATCGCTGTTACTGGAGCCGGGCGCCCTGCTCAGGAACAGATACTGGGGAACTGATGATGGGAAAGCGGCAAAACTTTATGGTCGACTCCCCAAATGTGTCGAACGTGATGCTTATGTGCTGGTGCTTATCCGCTGCAGGTTTACAGCTGCTGCGGGGCTTCGTTCATGAACTCTGATACTCCATAATGGAGTGAAGGAGTTCGATGATTCCACTTTCCAAGGTGGCACGTGTTTTCGAATGAGGCAGCCGCGGACATTCGTGTCGGGGTAGTGTTCTGGGCTCTACAAATGTAGAGTGTGCCCCTCCGAGGGCGCCGATACTGAGTATCGCCATAGATGGGACGCTAAGCGGACTTCTCGCTGCGCATGAGAGAGAGAGAGAGAGAAGGCAAAGGCAATGGTGGTGTAAGTAGTAGTACTAGTAGTAGTAGTAGTAGTAGTAGTAGTAGTAGTAGTAGGAGCAGCAGCAGCAGCAGCAGCAGTAGCAGCAGCAGCAGCAGAAGTAGAGGTAGAAGAAGTAGTAGTAGTAGCAGTAGGAAGATTAGTAGTGGTATTGCTAGTATTGCTCTGACTGTTGTCATTACTCATAATGCCATTGCAAAGCTTGATGCCTTCTTCGTCTTGGTGTCAGAGCTTTGAGAAATGGAGTTGTGGGACTTAGGTCTGGGGAGTCTTGTCTCACTTGGATGTACTTACGAAGGTGCTTGTCGTCTGGAGGCTCGCTCTGGGATAACACTGCAATCGCCGACAATCCGCCATTTACGACCACTTCCAAGTAAGCTCTCTCAAGTCCAAGCAGCCGCGGAGACTTCAAAGCACAAATTCAATCCGCTGCGATGCAAACGCTCTACACTTTGCATCCCTGAGTCCTTTGTCTGATGTGTGCTGTTTGAAGCTGCGATGACAACATGTGCCTTTCACTGAACTTAGAGCCCTTAACCTCGAAGCTCTCATGTATTAAGGCCCACCTTGAGCAAGAGTTGCACGGCATCTTTGTGCCCCGCCTTCGTAACAAGGCATCGGGGGTTTCAGCCCTACAGCCTCGGTGTCCAATCCAAGAGAGCAGAGACACCAAACCCTCCAAACTCCCTGTTGAGGGTGGTTGTAAACACCGTTGAGGGGAGAAGCCCGGGTACAACGGGCACATTCGAAACGACTCCTTTGCCGACCCTCAGCCCTATGTGAAGGTTCGGCTGGTCGTGTCTTCTCCGTCATGCTGCAGCATGGTCTTCGAAAGCGCGGGATTCGGGGGAAGACTGTTGGTTTTGTACTAGCTGCAGCAAAGGGCAGCATGTTCTCAGGAACACAGCTCCGGCATGAATCGTCGTTGTCTGGGGCAGTTCAACGGATGCAAAACTGAAATTGGGGGAAGGTCAAACGTGACTTTGGGCAGGATGCTGCGCATGGGTTGAACCCAAAAGCCACCTGGGCCAAAACCGGGACCGGAGACCGAAACTGCTGACAACCAGCCTAAGGCTGAAGCCTATCCCTCAATCAATGAAATGGCCCTCCTGCCAAACAACCCGAAATCCTAAAGCAACAATCATGACAGGTCCAGGCTTTGTCCAAACTTTCAAGCTGAACCTCAAGTAAAGTCATCAACCCTTACGCGATCCCAAGCTGCAACCCGTTGAAAGCACCTTAACCCTACTCACCCCAAAACCGTGAAAAATTAAACTCCGAACCCGTTGCCCCTCAAATCAGGACATAAAACCTACGAGCAGAACCTCAAGGCCACCTAATTACCCCACAAAACCTGTCTTAAGCGTCAGGTCGAATCATGACACCCACTTCTGGGCACACACCCCTAAAACTCCATAAGCCCCTGAAGATTCCAACGCCAGTTTATGCAATCCTTCCGACAAGCTTCTTGAATTCAGAATTCAGATTCCTGACGGTGTCGGAAATATTCGTTGAATCTCTGGCCTAACTTTGCGCACTTTCATCCCGCACTAAAAACAAGTTTGTTGTGCTTTGATCCAATGCTCCGTTCCTTCAGCCGCAAGACGGAATTCACAAAGAGATCGGCAATAGATACTTCCGGCTGAGCGCCAAGCTAAGTCTATGTCTTTTGATCCTGTAACGGAACCCAAACACAAAGCACTGAACCGGTGCCATGCCTGAGCTGCGTGATGCAGCGCAGTTCTACAGCTGCGATCCTGCAGCTGAGATGTTACATGTGATCGCAAGATGTTTTAAGATTCCTACTCGGCTTCGTCGCTTCGTGTACCCTGCGTGTGCTGAGTAAATGCTCGAACAGACCCGACGGATCCGGAGGCAACCAGGCAATACAACACCGCACTCACCAGAGTCACGCATGCAAACACTTGGACATTCCCGCAAACTACGGCGCTCCAATGGGCTGCTTACAGCTGTGGACACTTTGTCAAGAAGGCTGCTGCTGCTGCTGTTTTCTACTACAGCGGCCACTACCACTGTTTCTGACAACTGCAGCTGCCGCGACTGCTTCTACTACTCCTGCTCCTCCTGCTCCTGCCCCTGCCCACCACCAGACTACTACCAGTACTAGGAGGACTACTAGTGTTACTAGTGCCCTGTACAACTGCGCCGCCAGTGGTGAAGCCACATCTACTGCGAGTGCCGGACAACAGCTGGCAATCCCCCAGTAGAGATGCGATGTTGAGAACAGCTGTTTAAAGGCCCACGCAAGTTTGGGCAGAACAACCGAAGCACCTGTATCCCAAGACCGGAAGCGCAAGGCAACAAGGTGCTCCCAAGGGCTGCCCCGAAGATACTGCTGCTGCAACTGCGACCATGGTAACGACGACTTGCATATTGCCTACCGTTCAGATGGTGCTGGTTTTCCGATGCTGTAGTCTCTCAGGTGCAAGGGGTCAGCAGCAGCAGCAGCAACAGCACCAGCAGCGGCAGCAGCAGTTGCAGGGTCTCCGACTCCGAAAAATTCGTTGCGTAGAATGGTTATCTGGATCCTATATCTCCAGGCAATGAAACCTATTGCAAAGCCCAAGGCCGCAGCAGCATCTCTGACTGAGCCCTCCCTGTCCATGTCGAGCAACACAGCGCCCCGTGTGCCCTTCAGCAACAGCCTGGAGCTCGAGGATCCCATTCTTTGCTGATAATGATCTTTGTAGGCCTTTCAGCCACACGTGTATTCACAGCCTCGCATGCGAAGTGCGTTGCATCCATACAATCGCATCTCCAGCCGAAGTCCCAAAACCACAGGCTTCAAGTGCCTCTTACCTAAACAACAGGCAACCGCCGCCACATCTCCAAACTGGGACGGCGACATCATGAAGGTGCAATTGCCCGCCCGGGCGCACTGCAGGAATGGCGTCACGCCTTCCTTACGGCATGGCTTCTTCACATGGTCTCAGATCCCTCACACGGCCTGCTAAATCTCAGATCGTGGCGACATCGAACATACCACCGTCACGAGCCGAATCTTAATCCCGAGCTTGCACAAATCCGACCCCTGCTTCGGAAAAAGAAGCCCGCATCCTGACCCTCATCGCCCGCAAGGCCTTAAAGCCCACGACCCGAAAACACTGCACTCCCCTGGAGACCCGCTGAAGCTGGCAATGGCGAGTACGTTGCACATATAAAAAAAAGCTAGGGCGGCAACTGCATTCGGCTGATATGGGTCGGCCTGGCAAAGAGGCTGTTGCTTCGGCTGCAGGGTAAACAAAAAGCGCCTCTATGTTCCTGCCGCCTGCCTTGCTGGGCTAGCGGCTGGCGTCAGTGACAAAACGATTAGAGGTGAGTTTAGATCCAGGTCGCGCACAACCCAGAACATGCTGGAATCCTGATAAATGCAATCACACAGGCACCTGGGCCTCCATCAACAGTGCAAAGACCTGGCACAGCTCTCTCACGGACGACGGACTGACCTAGATTCTAGGGAAAAACGTTTTTTTTTGATGCCTTTTTGAGCTTTCGGCTACAGGGCTTGTGACTCTATGTTGGCTGGATCTGGTTTCGGGGTTCGGATGGGATTCTCAACAAGGAGCCCCGCACCCTCAACATCCTTTCGAAAGCTGCTCAACCCCACTTCCCATCCATAAACCAAAGTAAGTAACCACTGCCCTTTGGTGAGTGTGAAAGACCACGTGTGCAGAATTCGAAGTGATGTTGTCAGACAGGCCCTGCAACACAGCAGAACAGGCTGCAACCGTCCCAACAACATGAACATGGTATATGTCATGAGTGCTCATGCTTAACTCCTCCTCATTTCTCACTGTCATCTCTCGTCGCGCGCCTCAGCACCACCCCTAAGCCCGGATTGTGTTAATACACCGAATCCCAGTTTGTTGAGCTCCGCTGTATTTGAGACAGATTCTGTGGATGTGCTCGGGTGCCTCGCGTGTCGCGTCCTGCAACATTCGGGAGGCAAGCTTCATGCATGGGGTTCTGCGAAGCATCTGAAACGAGCAACCTATACACCTGTAGAGTCATCTTGAGGGCTGGAAAGACTTCTAGGTCGCAAAGACCCTAAAGCTCACCTCGGGGAGTCGTCAAAAGTCAAGGAGCAAACAAGTTTCAAGTGTTTCAAGGTCTTGTTCTCGGTAGCAGCGTTCATTTTCAGTGCTAAGATGTTGTTGGAACATGCGCTTAGTACTAGGGTATGGAGCCCTGCGGTATTGGCTTAAGGTCGACGAGGTCTTGGGGGACTCACGAAGCCCCGTCCTCCCGGCCGCACAGCATGGACAAGGCATTCTGCCTGCCCGTGCCATGCAGGAATTGCCTCACAAGTGGCGCGGAGCTGTCCAATAACATACTGTTGCCTTCTGTCAGGAACCAATTTCGATGTCAAGTCTGACTAAACTGAGCGTCATCTGACGCCAAACCTGTCTCAGGACTCAGAGGCGAAGAATCGTACACATGGCTTACGTCTTGGTGCGGTAGGTGCCGTTTGGCAAAGCTTGCGATCGAAAAGGGAGCTGTCCGCTGTTGAGAGAGTTGTTCGAACCACGAAGTGCTCCGAAGTCGCTCAGCCTTTCTCGCCGCTTTGGTTCCTGCAGAATGAGACGCTTCACACTGAAGCCGTACCAAAGCTGCACCCATGGTGCAGGTAGCACCTGACAGGCTGCGGCTTTAAGGGTGCAGGTGCTTGGGGCTTGTGCGATGCTTGTACAATGTGGTTAAGGCTCCACAAGCTACCGACATCGATTTATCACCGCCTGGAGCTGCCAAAACATCTTGCTCCACGGCTCCATGCCCCAGAATGCCACAAACTTTATCGGGACTTGCCTGACCTAGTGTTCTTTTGCTCAACACTTACAACCGAGGGTTTTAGAAACCCCAAGAAACCCCTCAGGCTCCATCCTCCTCTGTCCCCACCGCTGCCCACCTAGCACACCGCGGCAGGCGGGAAGCTCTGGAGCCCGGAGCCCGGCTTGCAGTGGGGTCAGAAAGCAGCGTGCCATCCTGGGCAATGACTTCGGGAAGCCCTCCTGATGTGCTTGCAGAGAGCCTGCAAAAATCTTACGAGGTCTCTGTTTCTTGCTAAACACTGCTACTGGCACTGTTACATACAGCTGCCAGAAAGTTCTTTGCCCACTTTTACTCTGGCTGGCAGTGTTCAAGTGATTTTGCCGAGGTGGTCCGTCCAAAGCCCACCGACACAGCACGTGCCCGGCGGAAGAGCAAACTAGGCGCCCGTTCGTTGGCTGGAAAGTTTGGATTCAAAGGAGGGCTCGGGGCGCTCGGGTATGTTCGATGAAAGCAAAAGCTTAGGCAGCTTATGTGCCGAGGTCCCTGCGCGCAGCTGCGTGGCTTGCTCCACCATTGCCAACCCTCCAAAAGCTCCGTCAGTACCTGAGATACTGGCATGTCCGGAGATGAGAACATACCAAACATACGGCCTCGTCAAAAGACGTCGAGTGACGTGGTGTGTTGCCGAGAAAACGAGTGCGTCTAAGCTGCAACGCATTCCACATTGCTTGCGCCAGGCACATGGGGCACTGGCGGCTGCCATGTTTCCGTCACCAAAGCCAGGGAAAGGAGACGGCCTGGACTTGGGGCACACGCACGGCATAGCAGCATCTTCTACAGTGGCAAAGGGAAAGAATGAAAGAACAACTGCTGTGAATGTTGTGACATCCTTCTACCTATGCAGCAAGATAATTAACAGATATCACCGTAGATGAAGCGAAGTTCTGATACGAAGATCTCTTTGTATTCCGAGGGTCGTATGGCAGGGCTGAGTCGTGGCATGCTGTCAGCATGGCCGGCTGCCACCAAAGTCGCAAGGATGCCGGATGTGCAAACGGCTGTCGGCATCAGACGATGATCCTTCCGTGAGAGTCTGCTTCTTACGTCATGGGCCAACGCATAGGGGTTAGGTTAACTTAAGCGCTTCTGCATTGTGGCTCCCGTGGCCTTCATTGAAAATGCCTGCTGCAATGCCTCCTCCCAACGGTAGGAAGAGCTGCAAGATCGCAGGAGGGTCCCGAAGACGGCTGAGTTCGGGTGCATGCCTGTAGTATGCTGCATCTGCCCGAAGAGCTCCAAGGCCACGTCCCAGGCACTCCCATGTTGACATGCGCTGAGCAGGGAGCTCCATAGAATGCCATCTTGGTACCAATCATTAGCGTAACTGCTCCCCAAAGCAAGGGCCCTCTGCCACTCTGTGCTCTGCGCACAACTGTTGACAGCGGAGCTGAGTGCAACTGCATCGATCTGCCCGGTGATCAGTGCCAAGGACTGCTTCCATTGCCGCGCCTGCGTGCAGGAGGCAATGGCCGCAGCCCGGGCTGAGATGCCAGGGGCCCGGTCGAGGATAGCAAGGCTGATGGCCCAGCGTGGGCCAAGGGCTTTAATCAAGGAGCTGGCTGCCACATCGTCCCAAACCAACCTGCCGGCCTCTGCTAGCATATGAAGAGCTTGCTGCCACTTCCGGCCCTCCTTGCAAGTGGCAAGTGCCAAATTCAGGGAGATGTCTTCGGTGCTGGGGCCTTGGCCCCTGCTTTGCCAAAGCTGCTCCAGCACCCATGCGGCCCAACGCCAGTGGCCAACCTGGTGGCAAGCGCCTGCTGCCGCACCGCAGATGCGGGTGTCCAAAGGGAAGCGCTCTGCTGTCCTAGGCCACAGCTGAAGAGATGCAATTCTGCTTTGACGATGCAGAATGGAAATATTCAGCAGCTGCTCGCATGAAGAGGGTCGTGAGGACACGAGATCCAACGGAAAGCAAACGGTTGGAGCTATGACCCAGCCTGAAACACATCAAACCATTCAACACCCAAGCCAAAACAAAACAGTCACGAAGACCGAACATACAAACACATGCCTGTAGTCAGCCTGGGCTCAGTGCAGCAAGCAGCCTTAGGGGCCACCTCCATTCCTTCGACAGCCGGCAAGCCGCGATGATTAGGGCATAGGTCACGCTGGAGGGCGCGAGCTCCCGAGGTTTCATGTCTTCCAGCCTTTGCTTGGGGCTTTTAGTTGTGTTGGAAGGATGCAGGCCTCGGCTTGTTCCAAAACTCCCTATTAGAGGGGGCATCAGAAGAGTACCTGGTATCCTACCAACTGGATCGCGCAAACAATAAAGTCAATAAAGTTCAATAAAGGATTGTAAGGTCTGCCGGTACATTATTGAATATTCAAACAGACGCAGCAATAGCAATCAACACTTGCTTGGATAAATTTATGTCGGCTGGTTCGTGGTTGGGGCCTGAAGAAACAACACGGAAACCGCCAGTTGGTCAGCCTGCCTAGCGCAATTGTCAGCTTGAGTCCCTGACCCTTGGAGTCCTTGGAGTCCCACTAGCGACACTCAGGCCTTGCGCCAGCCGCTATTGGGTAGCCCAAGTAAGTGTGGAAATGGGCGGCCACGAAGATTTACATGCCAAGTCCCTAACCGTGAGCTCTGCTTTGGCTTCGTATAGTCCGTCCAAGGTCTGTGCCGGGTGAAGCTCGGACAGTCCAGTATTGCAAAGCCCAACAGTCTGAAGTCCGGCAGAGAAATCAGACATGACTAATGTATAACATCAAAGTAAGAGCATGGCCTCGAATGGGGACGCCCATGTCCACCCCTGGGTCGCTAGACCCAAACAGGATCCTAAACAAGCCGTAGAGAATATTGTAGCGTCATCGGGGTTTTCGGGTGTGGGGCAGTCGTTCAAATGCGAGCCAGCAGCAGGCCGACAGCACGCTTCCATCTCCCGTTCGAACGACACCACATCATTTGGGCATGCACCCCAGCGAGGCACTTCCCGTGGCCTTGCTCCATCATGACCTCGCAAATTTCGTTTGCTCACAGCCATGTGTGCTTGCTTTGCCGGCACCGTCAAAACTTAAACTGTCTTAGTTAGATACCTGGCTGCGCTGTCGCAGCACGAACTACAGGGCCACCGAGTCTTCGGCATCTGCCAGGACAAGTGCGTGCTGCCAGGCACGCGCCGCGTCGCATGCTGTGACGGCCTTGGCGAAGGCCTCGCCGGATGGGTTGTGCTTGGGTCAGGGTTTCAAGGTTTCGACACGCTTACCGCCAGGCCCACAGATCTAGTCGGAGTTCTCACTGGAACTGCCGAGGCTCTAAACTCCGGCGCCCTCACCGTCACCCCTTGCCATCCCAAGCTGCCGGTTTATCTTCTCAACAACCCAAGAAGCTCCAAGAACTTAGAATCAATGCATGCAGGTATCCATACGAAGCCGTCCTGTTTCCCGGCCCGGCTAGAGTGCAAAAAAAATATGATACGAGCACAAGCCCATTCAAGACGAAGGCATCCTAACTCCTACAGTTTGCCTGAAGCCTACAACTCTGACCTGTAGCCACAACAGGAAACACCCTTAATCGTAAAGTTCTACGCAGTTCTGTGCCTCTCTGGCCAGGTGGTCGCCCTCCCAAAGGCATGCGGCTCTCGCCCCGCCGGCGCGGCGCATCGGGCGGCATTTGGGGGCTTCTCAATACAGGGGGGCCGAAATAGAAGGATCCTTCATGCAAGGACCTCGAAAAAAGGGAAGCACAGTAGCAAGAAGCACCGGATTGGAGCTCAGCGGGTTTTGGCTCTTTCGATGTGGTTGTACTTAAAAGGTAGATTTCCTTGGGGAGTTTGGTGGGTGTGAGGTGCTTGCCTGGTGTGGGGAGAGCTTTTCAGCTTGAGGCTTCAACAAGTACTCGGTGCTGGCGAGGGTTAGGGCACTTATGATGATCTCCGAGCCTATCTTCATGGCCTCAATCCCTAGTCTTCTTGTCCGCTGCAATTGCCATTCTAGTGACTATAGCATGTGATCCTAAATCGCGGTCCCCTCGAAGTGGTTTCGCTGCTTGAGGATGGCGGACCAGCTCGAGCTGACACGGATCTGAGAAAGTCAACCTCGTAATTACAATCGTTGCCTGCCTGTAGTGGCCCAGGGCAGCCCACCGACCCGCAAGAAATCCGGAAATTGACAGCCTCAACGGCTGTAACTAGTCACACTTGGAGCCTGTAACCTTGTTACCAAAGAGCTTCTCATCCCAAACCCCCATCTGCTACACACAAAGATTGTCGATACTTTACCTTCACACCACGGGCCGCACGTGCCTCCGCTGCTGCTCGAACAACTCTTCTCGAAGCTTCTGGTCGAACTCGTGCCTTTGCCAAACGTCGCGAATCGTTCAGCAGAGTGTCGAAGGTTTGGCCAAGTTGCAGGATTGCTCCGAAAATGGCTCGAAGACGAGAAGGGCTGCCATGAAGAAGGAGTTATTGCACGAGGCTTCAGACTTCAGATGTTTCGCAGGACTGGCTCCCTGGCTTTTGGCACGCCTACTGCGAGATCTGTGAAAACCGCTACTGGAGCGTCTGGCATGCTAGTGCGAGAGGCCTCCTTTTGAGAGTTTACAAGACACAACAGTTCGGGCGACTTGGCCTTACCAAATGAGAGACTTCCTCGACATGTGCGACTCCATCAGTGTTTAACAGGTCGCTAGGACTCCTGAGAATCTCAAACCCAACGGCACCCAGGAAGCCACCCGCACTCTCGGCTCTTTTGGCGACAGTGCTCCGATGAGAGAGACCATGACACACACACACACAACACACTGACAGCAACGAACAGGCTAATCAAGCGCACAGCATTTCAAAAAACACCGTCGAAGTCAGCTGTGTCGTCGTCGTAGCGGGATGGAGGTCCGAGTAGGAGTAGCAAAGCAGCAGCAGCAGCAGGCGCCGGAGCAGGCACAGCAGAAGGAGCGGTAGTCGCAGAAGCAGCAACAGTGTCAGTAGCCGAAGTCGCCGTAACACTACCACAGATGCTGCTGCTCCTACTTCTTCTACCGGTACGAGTAATTGTCCTAGTCCTAGTAGAAACGCACGTACAAGCACCACCAGTAAAACCACAAGCACAGGTACAAGCGCGAGTAGAACTAGTGCTAGTACTGCTACTGCTGCTGCTACTGCCACTGCTACTACCACAGCTACTGCTGCGGCAGCTGCGACGATGACAACAACAACGGCCTCCTGCTGAAGCTGCCACTGTGAAGAAGAGCATATGATACCAGTGCCCATGGCTTCAACATACATAGGCATGCTCGAACAAGAGAAGACAAAACCACTTGATTCATAAGAAATAGCTGCCATAAACAATGGCATGTTCAGATACATAGCAGTAATTCACGGAACCAAACAACACCGACGCAGATGCAACCATAAGTCATAGGTCATGAGGCCATGTGCATGCCTTACAATGTAAAAAGACACGTTCATGTCGCACAGCAGTGTGGATAGACAGCAGCCGTTGCCTAAGAGCAATCATAAGGCAAGCAAGGCAGTACTCCATCCTCAAGAGGCAGTAAGAGCAGAGCAAGAGCAGTGCGAGAGCTATGGTCAGCTATACCGACAACCATAATGGTAATCATGTCCATGTACAAGCTGGCAATACACATGTAGCCATCAATATGGTAGTTCCACATGAGTTTCGCTAAACCACATCAATACTGATGGCAAAATGTAGCATGGAAAAACTGCCGTCATTGTGGAGAGAATGCAAGTAGTACTACGCAGACTAGCAGCACGCCTAGCACGCCGCTGTGTACCGCCAGACTACATATGCTGTATATAATAATGTGGGTTTGCACGGACCAATGACTCAGCAAGTGAAGAAACAAGGTGCACATGAATGTGAAATCCCAAATGCTAGGCCCCAAACCATCATCAACCACCCGCAATTGCCAGGGCCCCGGACCGCTCAAACAGCTTCTGTCCTGGTCTCACGAACATAGAGGACTTGGGGGCTTAGCGGTTTCGGGACCTTGGGATTCGAAGCTACGCTTTAGATCTGGGCTTAGACTTCAGGTGTCGATGTCACGGTCTTGATTTCCAGACCTTGGGCCTGCAGTTTCCAGATGTTGTAGGGCAAGGTTCTGCAGTTTTGGTCTTGGATTTATGAAGCTTCGGCATCAGGCAGAATATTGAAAAATATTGAGAACACATATGGAGATTCCTGAAGCCATTATCCCAAAACTCCAAGCTCGCCCACTCTCACTATCTTTGCCACTACATGTTGGTTTCAGATCCTGTTACAGCATAGAGCCCGGCAGGGATCACAAACTCCTGAGATTGAATAAAACTCTGAAGGCTCGCTTGCTTGAGGCTGAATGAAGGATGATTGCACACCATTGATGCTTCTCGGGATTGATTTCTGAATCGCGGCCCTCAAATTCTAAACATGTACTACATCAACGAGGTGGCTCAAAGTTGCGAAGCTCGACACGAGTGACTTGCAAACAAAGGAGCTTCTCATCGCTAGGCGTGTATCCGTTGCATCCTGCAGCCTGGCCTTTCCGAAGCTGTTGATTGCCGGATTTTGTTCGAAGGCCCCACATTAATAGGAACGTTGTAGGCGTTGGGAAAATCCAGCGTTTTCAGGTTTTGGCGCCTTCTTCCAGAAGCTTCTCTGCAGCCTTGTAGGACCCGGCCTCGAGCGCCACCTCTCCGCCAACGCATCACATCAGCACTTTGGTTATTTGTCACTAGTCGTCTTTGTATTGCTACTGCCGTCCTCTTCGGTTCGCTACTTACGCTGCAATTGCAACTGCCACTGTTCGAGTTCTTGATTGTCCAGTAGTAATCTTGTTACTGGTTATGGTCCAGCAACCATTACAAGTATTGGGTGTTGATGATGTGTATCCATGTTTGGCAAAGCAGTCCAGCACGCAACCTCATCTCTGATTTCATCTGTAGGCACCACATCAAACGAGAGATTGGAATATCGAGAAGCCTTTAACGACGAGGTGCCCTCCGTCAAAGCTCACGAGTTGTTCGTAGTGAGGAGGGCTCTTTTTTCCTAACATCCCGAGGTGTGTTGAACTCCTAGTTGCAGTCAACACCTCCCCGGCAGACTGCGGTGCTGTCACTCGGAATTGCTAACATTCTTGCTCAGCCGACCAGCCGTAGCTTGCGGACTCTAGTACGGTTTTTCAACCCTTCGTTTTACATGCCTATGGGCTCAAACTCGAAGGAGTTGCCCAAGTTGGCCGCTTGAGCCCTTCGTTTACGCAGCTGAGGAGCATTTCGCTCCATTTGCTGCTGAACATGATTGACGGTTGACGATCTCGCAGTTCGGACGCTGCCAGACCGGTTTACGTTTCAGAAGCCCGCAATCAGAGAGCCATAAAGGCCTACACAATGAACACACAAACACTCAAAGCAGTGGGCAAAGTCAAGCGGGCTACAGGCTACAGGCCAACCCTGAACCAGGGAACCCCATAGAGCTTAGGAGCCCAAGCCTAGTTTATTTTCTAGCGGGCCTGCATCTGCACCGTCTGATGTACAGAAACTGACAGCACATTCATTGGAATGGCACACCAGTACTGCATCGGGGAACCACAGCATACAACAACCCCGAAAAGCGACAAACCCAAACTTCAAACAACAAACCAAACGGTCTTCCAACCCGAGAGCCTGAAGCAAGCTGCATCCTTCGTCGTTGAGCTGGAGCAAAACCACCGCCAAGGATTCCTGTCTGAAGGAGGCACGCCGCAATGTAGGATCCAGCGTTTTAGTGCTGCTATGTATGCTCGGATATTTTGGCTTGTGGCTGAGGTGTAGGGGTTTGGGGTCATAAAACAGCAGCAACAGTGACAACGACCTCCTGCTCGTACTGCTCGTACAGCAACAACAACAACAACTACAACCACAACTACATTGTAGCAGCAGGAGGAGGAGGAGTAGCAGCAGTAGTACTGCAGAAGTAGTAGTAGTAGTAGTAGCAGCAGTAGGCGCAGGTGTCGTATTTGACGCCACGCTTTTGTGGCTGTCAGGACGAGTTTTCATCGACAATTACAGCACTTTTCGCAAGGCAACAGCAGGAGTGTCGAGGGTAGGATTTAGGTGTTTTTTTTCCGATGATA